ATTAAGTACACTCATAATTTGTTTTCCACATATTTTAAAACCTAAACAGTTAGTTCTAATCTGTAGATTTGGAGCTGACAGACCAACTGTAATCAAAATATAGTAATTAAAAAATGGTGTCTTAGTTAATTTAAAATCATCTTCTTTCAAAAGTTTTGCAATCCTTCGTACTATCATCATGATGCATTTTTAAGAGTATTTTGAGGAATATATATATATATATATATATATATATATATATAAAGTTGTTGATTGCACATGTAAGTTTTAGTACAATATCAATATAATTCCTCAAATAGGTTAACTTTAAGAATGGAAGTTGGGTTTAACAAATATCATTTTTAGATTCTTAACCTATTAAAATCCAGAGTTTTTAGTTCTGTGACTGTTTCAAAGAAATTGACACAGGTGCATTCAAATATGTTGGAAATCATAATCTATAGCTTTTATATAAATATTCATTTTTTTCTAAAAGAGAGAGAGAGAGAGAGAATTTTCATATTTATTTTTTAGTTTTCGGTGGACACAACATCTTTGTTTGTATGTGGTGCTGAGGATCGAACCCGGGCCACGCACATGCCAGGCGAGCGCGCTACCACTTGAGCCACATCCCCAGCCCTAAATATTCATTGTTATATTTATAGTTATATTTTTATTATATTATCTATAATTACATAATACATTATAATTAGGTTTTTATAGGTTTTCTGCCTCTGGGATGAAGGGACAAAAATAGGTTAATATCTTTTCGTAGAGTTTTTTTTCCCTATTTCTCCTGAAAGAGTCATTATGAAATATTTACTTTCACTTATGTTCAACCAATATTGATGTGCCTACTGTTTTTCAGAGCACATCATCCATGCCTGCCATCAGTTCTTTATGTGTACCTGTCACTTGTGTATTGAGAGTGTATGTGTAACATTTTCACTTATTTAGTAGTCATTATTCCTTCTGTATTCCAGACTTTGGTGGTGAAATACTAGGTTTACAAAAGACTTTAGACTTCACAGTATAGTGAAGGAGGCTGTAATAACTGGAATGGAAATGTATTTGTTTCTTCTATAAAAAGAACAGGATGAAGTGTTTTATACAAATTTGCGTAAGATTTTTAATAATTAATTTTGCAACTAAAAGAGGTAGTTGGGTGTTACAATTTTTGATGGATTTTTTTGTTATAGTCCACTATTTGAATATTATGCTTTCACAGTGAATTATGCAAAAGACTTATGCTGATCATTTGAGTTTCTTAAGGTAACAGATTTTGAACCCTCAGTATAGTAATTCTGCAAGATTGTTTCAGCAATTTAAAAAATGATGTCAAATGGTTTCTTGTTCAATTCATCTAACTTGTTAGGAAATATTGGCATTCTAGTTCAGTTTATCACTTCTGCAATTAATTTTGGAACGCAGTGTTACTGAATGGTTTCCATTCAAGTCTTAAAGATGCTTAGGAGCTTCCTGTCCTTAATTTGGGGGATTTTTGTCAGTGCCTTTTATTATTCTTTTAGTCATTATTTGAAACATTGTTAAGAGCTATCCATTGGCTATTGTGTATTATCACTGCTAATCTGACTGCATGCCTTTAGCCTCCCTCAGTTAATAAATGATTTCTCTTCCCTTGAGGATAAGACTTGTAGCAGTCCAGGGAACAAGATGTAGCTGAGAAAATAGACATTGTACCCTTTTAAGGAAAATATCTTTTATGGTCATATTCTTTTGTCAACTGAAATTTTAATTGATAACTACCATAATTTAGGTCAACCTTAAAAGATTGAGAAGTGCATAACTTTATGGATTTACTTTGTAGAAATAAAATGAAGTTTCTAAATATTATTCTGATCTTCCATGGTGGCTTTTAATAAATGTGCATGTAGTTCCTTACTAAAACATAGACAACAAGTGTTTATGTAGTTATAAATTACAAAACAGACTAGGTTTTTTTGTGAGGAATTTACATAATTAGATCATTTCCATTTCAGCCATGCTTGAAAAATAAATTTATGTATTTGACTTGATTTTTTTCTAGTTGCTTCTGAAAGAAAGATTGGTATAGGTGTGTGAATGGGTGTTGCATTTAAACATTGTGAAATTAGATACTTGTCCTCTCACTTTCATCTCTTAACTGTGATGTTGAGCACTTGACTTAAATCTCTCTGATCCTTAATCTCTTTATCTGTAAAAGGAAGGTAGATCAGAATGAAGTAAAATGCCATGAAGTCTTTAGCATGGTATGTGGTACATTATTAACAAATGTTAACACCAGTACCATTCCCTTCCCCCATCTACATTCTACAACAGTGTAGCTGTAGGAAAAAGAAATGCAGAAATTCCAATTGAAGATCCAGATTTAAGTCTTAATTTTTTTATTTTACTATATATGTTTTCTTGGGTCAGACATTTTTTGGGTTGTACTTTAAGTACAGTCTGCTTTACCTATAAAATTGGGTTCTGAAAATTAAATGAGGTAATGAGTAAGTCTTTCTGACCTACTTTCCAGTGGTTAACTTTTTTTTTTTTTTTTTTCCCCTGTGCAGTGAAGGAACTGTGTTTCAGGAGCATGAACCTGGTAGTTGTGTGTAGGTTACAGCACACACACATACACAGCACCATTAACTGGTTTTAAGTAGGAGCAGGGAGGGGCCAGAGGATTTCACTAATGTGGTGAAATTATCAGTTTAAAAAGATGGCTGAAACTGCAGACAGGAATTTCATTGGACCAGGTCCTTTGTTCTTTTTTCTTCATTAGTTTATTTCTACTTTGGTCAGCTTTTTTCCCACACGTGATTCTGCCACCATTGTTAGCTTTCTGAAGCATGGTCTACATTTTGTAATCTGCATTCCCCATAATCTGTAATCAATCGAAATCTTAAAAACATATCATTTTTTTCCCCCTGACACTGGGCTTGAAAGTTTTTCATGAGCTGACTCTATCTTTTCAAGGAGGAAATAGTTTCACTTTCTGCTTAGCATGTGTTCTTTGCCCTAGCTGGGAAACTTTGTCATCTTTGTGTATTGACCTTTACACCAGTTGTTCCATATGCCTAGAATATTAACAGAAACTTTCTCATCTTCTTTCTTTTTTTCTGGGAAGCCATCTTTATGGCTTAGCTTTTTAAAAAATTTCCTGATGGATCATCCTAAAGTAATTTTAATTGCTTTATGACAGTAAATGCATGTATTTATTGATAAGATTAATTAGTTCGACTTTCTTTGCATAACTCAAGTATTCTTTTTGGTAACTGGATAGTATTAAACTTGCAGCAGAAACAGAGTGAATTCTTAGTAGATTTAAAATGATGCATAAAGCCAGGTGTAGTGCTGAAGGCCTGTAATCCCAGTAGTTGAGGAGGCCAAAGCAGGAAGATTACAAGTTCAAGGCCAGCCTGGACAAATTAGTGAGACCCTAATAAATTAAAAGAAAGGGCTGAGAGTGCTACTTAGTGGTAGAGTGCTCCTGAGTTTGATATGTAGTGCTGGGAGAAAAAATGTGATGCATACACTTCTTACTGTACCTTAATAATGGAATAATTTTAATGTTTTTATGTAAGAGAGGTGGGTTGTGGTGAACAGGAAAGAGGGACACAGATACCTGCCAGTGCAGTCAGGCAGTAAAACTTGATGGATAGCCATTCTGTAGAAAGTAATTTTTCCTCTGCTGTCATTCCATAGCAATTAACACAGAAGACTTCTTGTGATCAAATCAAATGTGTGTAGGGTTTTTCCCCACACATAGAACAGGTAAACACAGTATAACAGACAAACACAGTACTCCAGTGAATACCATCTGTCTGTCCTCCAGTTCATTTCATTTCTGACACTTATCTACCTGGAGATAACATCAGATCCCAAAGGTCTAGGGCTTTGTCCTGGAGGCTGCCCCTCCCACATGCCTAGCACAAGTCCCAGGTGGTTTTTTCTATTCTTTTTTGATAGACTGCTCTAAACAGGACTGCTTCAACTCCATCTTTGAGTTCCATTAATTTGCCAGACTAGCTCACAGGACTCTGAGTAACAGTTACGTTTACTGGTTTATTATAAAGGATAATAAAAAGGTGGCGAGGTAACTAGGGCAAGGTATAGGAGAAGGGGCTAAGAGGTTCCATGGGGCATACTACACCCTCCAGGAACCTCTGAGTGTTCACCTATCTGGAAGTACTCTGAACGATGTCCCTTTGTGTTTTTAGGGAGGCTTCATTACATAGACCTGATTAATTAAAACATTGGTCATTTAAGGTTAAATCAACTTAACCTTCAGCCCCTCCCCTTCCTAGAAGTTGTAAATAAGGGGTAAAGTCCCAAGCCTCTAATCCTGCCCTTATCTTTCTGGTGGCCAGCCCTCATCCAGAGTCTACAAGGGGGCTGCTTGCCTTCAGTAAACTTATTAGCATATAGAACCACACTTATCACTTTGAAGATTCCAAGGATTTTAGGAGTTATATGCCAGGAAACAGGGATGAAAACCAAATTGTATTTCATGGTATTAGAGTCAACTATCTGTTTATTTATATGCATTCTGTTAGAAATAAGCTTTAGAAACTGGTACTCTTTTCCATTTAATGACTACTATGCAGTAAGTGATTCAGTAATATTTACATCAGGACATTGTTTGAAGGAAATCCTGTCACTTAACCAGTTCCCTTTAGTACAGTTGTGTAGGTGATTTCCATTTCTCATTCAATGAAGAATAGAGTAGTAGTTATTTGCAAGTGTACCTGGTTCCTAGCAAGTCTTTAGATATGTTTTTTAGTTATTTTCATTCCTTGAGAAGAAACTGAAGAAGTAATTGGGGTAAAGGGATTTATGGGACTCACTAGAAAGATCTCTAAAACAATGGCTAACACCTGGTGCTTCTCATTCATCCAAGGGTTCACATTAAAAATTACAGTGTTATATGCTACTAGCAGCACCCTTTGTTTTTGTAGTCATGGCAGCTTAACACAGCGCCCTAGTGGCTTAACATACAAACACTTAAGTCCTTATTTTTTGTTTTTGTTTTTAAGTCATTGAAATTATGAGGCTATCATTCAAATGGAAGCATTATAGTTCTTCGGAACCATTATGATCTCAAAAGGAAAGGAGAATGCTAAAGATACACTGGCTGAGGTGTTTTGAGGTGCACCGAAGTGTTCCAAGCTGTCTGTGACTTACCTTAACATGTTCTTGAAGTACCATGGCGTGGATTAAAAGGTATGCTTTAGAAATCTCTCAGTGACCCCAGGGTCATGGGTAGAATGAATGCTCAGATTCTATATCTTACTATTGCATATTTTAATATTTAGATTGCAAGTGGTTATAGATTTATAGTGCTATTTTTGTTAAAAATATTGAAAGTTTTATGATTGAATTTTTTTCCTTTTTGAGATAAGATTATGGAAGACATGAGGGTAGATATTTTCCTTCAGTTTTAATAGTAATAGTGTAGAAATAAGCTGTAATTTATTTTACCACATAGTTTAGGGATTATTCATGTGTTAGTCTGTAATTATCTTTCGGTTTACATCATAGAATAGTTCTCTTCAGTGCCGTCATTTCATGGTAGCCTGAATAGGGTAAATTCTTCAGATAGAGTACTAATTTGGCCAAACAAAACTGTTCTATTTAGTCCATTTATAGTAGAGTTTTGTCTTTTGCACAGAATTTTCATTTAGAGGCAAATGAGTGAGTTTTAAACTATTTCTTAACTGATATTAAAAAATTTTTTGTACTATATGGCTGCTAATAATTTTGCTTTTTTTGAAGAGTGGTACAATTGAACCAACTTAGCGAGAATGCTGAATTTATTAATATTATATCAGATTCAGCATTCTTAACCTATTAGTTAATAAAGGAAACTATGTTTGGAAAAGAGGTATAAGTCATAGATAGAAAACATGAACAGAAATACATTGGTAGAGTCCACGACTTTTGCCAGGTTACCTTGTTCTATAAGATCCTTTTGGTATGTCAACAGTTAAATTCTTTTTTTTTTTTTTTTGTACTTGGGTTTGAACCTAGGGGCACTTAACCACCGAACCACATCCCCAGCCCTTTTTTATGTTTTATTTAGAAACAGAGTCTTGCTGAGTTGCTTAGGGCCTACCTGAGTTGCTGAGGGTGGCTTTGAACTCGGGATTCTTCTGCCTTAGCTTCCTGAGCCACTGGGTTATAAGCGTGCACCACCATGCCTGGCCAAAAGTTAAATTCCTAATGGAATTTAATTTTTAAAACTACACAAAACTTTTATAATAAAATATCCCTAGTGATAGTGATCTAATCATATTCCAAGGTAGTCATGTGCTTAATTAGCCAAAGTAGTCATTCATTTCAACTTGGCATTTTATGTGTAATGGCATACAATAGTGTCTATCCTCCAGAAAGATATTTTGGAACATAATGGTTTTTAATGTATTGTTTACAAAATATATTTCTCTATAATACTTGCTACTTAAAGTGTAAAATTTTTCTGGGTTAGCACATGGTCCTCCATTTGTTTCCTTTGAACTTCAGAGGGATTTTGATGCATAGCCAGAGTTGGCAACTTCTCTTCTTACTCTAAAAAGTTTATACGTTTTTGTTTAAGAGCTTAGGGATCAACTGACCTGTGCTTCACATCTAATGCTTACTTTGTTATCTTGATAGGTTGTGAGAATGATCTGGAAAAATATGAATTTATGTATAAAAAATATAGAGACATAAGCATATTATTATATAAATCTGCAATACATAGATAATTGGCTATATTTGCTATACATAGATAATTGTACACATACGCTTATGCAGGGTTGGGCACATGGGACAAAATGGCAGATCAGCTGTGATAGTGATGATTTTTAAATGCCAGATCAGGATTTATGTGTGTGTGCATGCACATTATTTTCTTTTTTTTTCTGCCCTGACTCTTTTACTTTGTCCTGTACTCTTTCTAGAGTAAATCAATCATCATTATTTGGGTTTTTTGGGTACCAGGGATTGAAACCAGGGGCACTTAACTACTAAGCTACATCTCCACCCCTTTTTTAATTTTATTTAGAGACAGGGTCTTACCGAGTTGCTTAGGGCTTTGCTAAGTTTCTGAGGCTGGGTTTGAACTCCTGAGCCGCTAGGATTACAGGTACAGGTGTGTGTCACTGCACCCAGCAGTTGCTTTTTTTTGTTTGTTTGTTTTATCAGTGAAAGAAGGTAGCCACTAGAGACTGGTAATTTATCTATGGTTCTATTACTCTGCTAGGATGATTTTTGTGTTCTCTGAAGCTTTGTTTTTCAAATTGTTGGTTTCATCCCATTTATTAGTGGATCAAGAAAACATTTTAGTGGTTTGTGACCAGCATCAAAGCATATTTCAGAATAGGAATGTGTCAATGCACTGGATGTAGAAAAGAATGCATTGCTTTTTTTTTTTTTAAAGCTTATTCTTCAATTTTTAAAGCAGTTGAAATGAACAAAATCTATGCATATTTATGTGTACATTGATTAGTTATGTTTTTGTTCTAGTAAGTGTATGCCTCCTATAGGCACAGAGTTCCTCAGAAATACTATTAGCTTTATATTGTTTTGCTTTGTTGAAAAGAAATGACCAGGATGCATTTTAGTCTGTGGTGAAAGAGAATATGGTGTGCATATTCTTCCTGTACATCATCTTCAAAGGTCACTCTTTTATCTTTTTTGTTTGAAGTAAAGGTTATAACAGGAGAATAGGGAGTAGAAGAGAAAATGAGAATAAAACAATAGTAGCTTTAGAGTGGTATTAACCAAGGCTATTTTATCAAGTAGAGTGATATTGTATGCTGCCTCTTGGCATACATTTTGGTGTTTATCAATTCATAGACCAGTGTTTTTCATACACGTTCTGAAATTAATTCGTTAAGTTTCTGCCCCCTACCCCTTACAGAAACAGAATAGAACAGAAAGTTTCATGAATGTATCACCTGATATAGTTTTTTTAAAACTTCTGTTTCAAGGGTAGGCATTGGTACTGGATTGGACAGATGTTCTTGTAATGAGTAACTGGAAAGCTGTGTGGAACTCAGGTCTTATAAATCCATGTTGCCAAACTGATGTCAGCTACAAAAGCTACAAAAGCCTGTAGATAGCCATCACAAGTATTATCAAATCAGTGGTCTTATTTCTGATGGTAGGGAATAGTTAATTAGCTATGAAACCTATGTTTTTGTTGTTTTATTATTTTGTGAGTATGTGTGTATTGTTTGTTTGCCCTGGTAAACATGTAAAGGTTTATAATTAAGAATTTACAATAATCCAGCCAGGCACATGCCATAATCCCAGCAATTTGGAGGCTGAGGCAGAAGAATCACAAATTCAAGCCCAGCCTTAGCAATTTAGCAATGTCCTAAGCAGCTTAGACCGTGTCTCAAAATAAAAAAAGATCTGGGGATGTGGCTCAGTTGTAATGTGCCTCTGGGTTCAATACCAAAGGGAAAAAAATGAAAAAGAAAGAATTTATAGTATTTCCTAGTTGTGATTTACTCTTACTTTGTATTGAAGTAAATGATTGCTGTAGTTAGAAAAAAACCTGATGATACATCTTAAAATTCACTAAATTTATTTTATGTGTTAGGATTTGTTCCTTTAACAGGTGACTCTTTAATTCAGAAGATAAATATAAAGCTATAGAAATTCAGCATAAATCAGATATATATTACAAATATTTAAGGTGGTCAGATGTTTAAATGTAGAATTTCTGTGTGTGAGGATTTTGATAATATTTAAACTTTTATTTTTCTTGAATTAGTGCATTTTCTTATACAGTAGCCTTGTAACAGCAGTTATTTATAGATCTGTTGAGGATAATCACAGTATCTGGTGAATATTTTTTAATAAATAAGGTAGGGCAGTATCATCATATGCACATGTGTTTTAAGATTATGTCAAAAATACAATTTTTTTTGTCTTCAGAAAACAGAAGATGAAGACTTCTGGTAAATTGTTTCACTACAATGGAATTTGTACATTAGTTTTCTACACTTGGGAGTTGAAAAAACGGAATAATTCTTGCCAGAAGAGGAGGGCAAAAAATAAAAGCCTGTTTTATCTTTCACTTCAAGTTCTTGGAAATCTTGTTAATGTACATAGTTTCTTTTCCAAACTGGGTATGACATACTCCTTAGAAATTGTGTTTTGAAATTATAGGAAGTAAAGCCTCCTAGTCATGGGTTAACTGCCTGATGGTAGTTGCTAGTCTTTGTACAGATGTGTGCAGGCATGCACTGTTAGTGGCAGAGCCCTTGGATGAAGCTTCAGCTCCGTTGGTCCAAACAGACCAGGCTATGTCACCTGTCCCAGTATGCCAATTAAAGAGACAGCAGTGATGAAGGGCAGGAAAGGAGCTTTTGACATGCCGTGATCAACTATGTCTCAAGGAACTGACAGAAACTTTGAGGTTTTATAGAAAAGGGCACAAAGGCGGGTTGTATGGCTGAGAAGCTTGTATAGCTCCTGAGAGTAAATCATTTTGGTCAGACTATGATGGGGATCAGACTATGATGGGGATGGGTTCTCTGAAGCTTTGGGACATCCTCAGCACCTGAGGGCATGATTTGGTTCCTCACCTGAGATATTGCCCCAGGTTTTGTTGTGGGCGATTGTTCTTGCTTGGGGGCGGGGGGCATCTCACCTTGTGTTATCTGTTCTGCTTGCAATTGCTTGGGGGTAGTTTCAGTCCCTTGTTATAAAGATGCTTATCAGTAAAGATTGTAGTTCCTGGAATCCAAGGTAGCTGCAGGAGAAAATGACTCAGAATGAAGGGGGAAAAAGAATGAGAGAGGGGGGAGGGATGGGGCAGGCAGGCAGATGGAGTCAGAAAGGGACAATATGGAGTGTTATGTCAGCGACTTAGTCCTCTTTCACTAAGAGATTCTGAATGTGAAGTATGGAAGAATTAAAATTCCTTTATTCTGTTGCTTTGCTTCTCAAAATTCTCTCCATCTCCCAACTGCTCCCAGTCTTATCCAGTTCTTTCTACTCTCTTTCGGTAGGTAGCCCTGTTTGGCTTTTCATCATTAAGATCATTGATTCTTTTTCTCAATCATGTTTCCCACTCACTTCCAGCTTCACCATATCTTACCTTATCTTAGTCATCTGTCAGGAGCTATGAGTTTTCATGTTGTCTCCTTGTGGCATTTGTTTCTTCAGATCTGTGTCCCTTTTCTTTGGTTATCGTAAATGCATGATACCAGCTTATAGTCTTTTTCTTTGGTACTTTTTTGTTTGTTTCTAGGGAATAGTTGAGAAGGAAACTAAACTATATTCTAGTTTAGTTGTCTCCAACTTGATATGAGTAGCTAGAGATGCACCCCAACTCCATATCTAGATTTAGAAGAAAGAGCATATCATGAATTCTGTATTCATTATTAGATATTATTTCAGCTGATTTTTGGTTATAAAAAATAAGTTAGAATCACCTTTCAAAGATTAAGATGAGCTGCTGTGTGTCTATATTTAAAATGATGTTTTAGCTTCTGAAGATAACAAAACTTGGGAGTTCATAACCCACTTGAATCAAAGTGTGAAATATGATATGTCAAGAACTATGTAATGTTTTGAACAACCAACAATAAAAAATAAAAATAAATAAATAAAAAATAAAAATAAAAAAATAAAAAATAAAGATTTAAAAAAATAAAAAAAAATGTTTTGAGTAAATGGGGTATTGTTAGCATTAAATATGTTCTCAAAACTAATTGTACCATCTCTCATTACTTTGAAAAACAGTACTATTTTGGATGACTGTGGTATCTGGGGTATCTCTTCAAAGAGTACTTTATAATTCATTTCAAGTATGAACCTTATTGAAAAAGTGAAATATACTGTGTTAGTACATGTCAGAAAAATCAGGGAATCAGGAAAACATCTATTTGAAAAATACAGTGAAGCTACTTTTTCTCGCACTGTGGAACTGCTGGGCATTATAAGGAAAGTACGTAGATGAACAGGAAGATGTGTGTGTGTGTTCTTTCTTCAAAATGCCAAACTTACTGTTTAGATATGGAGCATAGTTTTCATTAGTGGTGTAGTTAGGCTCACATAGGTGAGAGTGAGTGAGCAAGTGAGCCCCTACCTCCAGGGGGAAACCACAGTAAGATCAAGCTGACCTTCTCCACTGGTCTGTGGGCCTTGCTTTATCAACTGTATGTCAGCATATTATCTTTCTTTAGAAATAATGACTATAAATGTGCTACTTTGGAGGAAGGACAACTGCCTCCTTTTGTCCTCCTACCCTTAATTGTTATAAGGAATCCTGGGGTAGAACTGTTGATGCAGAGGTAAGATAGAACACTTTGGAAAAAGTACTTACTTTGAGGGCCTTTGTGTCTTGTTGATACCAGTACTGTGATAGTAGTGATGAGCGTGATTGAGTATGTGTTTCTCTGTGTGTATGTGTATACACGCATATATAAGAGTTAGTGGTAGCAGCTAAGCAACTAGATTAATAAAATGTGCATTAAATTTAGCTTTATCAGGACCCTTTGTTGTTGAAATATCTGTGGAAAAACTAACCTGTCAGTGAAAATTCTAGCAGAGGCATGGAACATGGGTGCATATATAAAGCAAGGAGGGTTTGGAATAAGTAGGATCCACTGAGAGCATTCACCTTTGAAGTACACACTGACATTTCCTCTGCAGAGAAACAATTTTCAATCTTTGCTCTAGTTCCCAAACCTATTCTTTACCACCATTAACTGATTTTGTTTATTTTGTTGGTACTGTATCCCTGGCCCCTGGGAGAGTGAATAGTCACAGCAGGTTCTCAGTAAATATTTGTCAAATGAATACAATTTGGATAACCCTAGGTTGGGGGGGGGGGGGATGCTTGTTGTTGCTTTGTTTTGGTGCTGGGAATTGAACCCATGGGTACTTGATCATTGAATCATATCCTATCCCTTTTTATTTTGAGACAGGGTCTTGCTAAATTGCTGAGGGCTTCACTATGTTGGTTTGGCTGGACTGGAACTTGTAATTTTCCTGCCTCAGTTTCCCAAGTTGCTGAAATTACAGATGTGTGCCCACTGTACCTGGCAACACTAAGTTTTTAGATTTACATCTATCCTGTCATGGCATAACAAGCCTTTCTCTTATTAATCATCTCTTAATTTACAAGTGGAGAGAAGACCAGATATCTTATTGATGAACCTCTAAATTTACAAATGGAGAGAATGACCAGATATTTAAAGAAGTAATTTTATTTTGAAATGATCTTAGTTTCAGTATATATGTTATCACTAAATTCTTGTGAGTTTGGTAGTGGGTCTGAAGACAGAGAAGTCTCAAGTGTGTTATTACACTGACATTTAACGAATATTGTGCTTGAGGTGTTCCACGCCAAGCATTTTGCATTTATTAGCTCATGCTTCACAACAGATCTCTAGTATTCCCATTTCACTGACATGGAGACTGAAGCTCTGCAATACCTATGAAAGCATTGAAGTGGGGGTTGTTTTGTTGTTGTTATTTGTTTTCATTTTTGTTTTTGGTCAAAAGGCAGGCTTTGGGGGAGCAAAACTTGGAAATAGTGTACATAATAATTGAACAGATCTTTCTTGCCATGGGTAGATGTGCAAGTGTGAGATTATTTATAGGGAAAGCCAGATTGTGATCTGTGCTCATGTTTTACAGAAGAAAGGCTCTGTATTCCAACTAAAACATTTCCATATTTGGGACTGACCAGATTTGGTCTGTTAGGAGGTGGACAATTGCCCTTTTATGGCCACCCAGATCCTCCATTGCTGTCTTGTTTCTCTTTGACTTGGTGGCTCTGACACTCCCTCAAGCAGTCTTGTTCTCCTCTGTCTTTTGTTACTGCTCTCTTGGCTCCAGTGTTCTCTGTCTCCTTTGCTCTCTATCCGCTCTTTGTACTCCACAGCTCCCTTCTCTCTTCCTTTCCTCCCTCCCAACTCATTACTTGCAACTTGAGCAAACAAAAGAATTTCCTCTGCATTCTGACTATAAAAGAATAATAATGTGAACATTGAATAAAGTCAACTTTTGAGTCACAGAACCAGGCAGGCCAAGTGAGAAAGTGAGCTGGCCAACAAAGGTCAGTTAGGAGGATGCTATAAAAATAGCATAAATCTTAGATCCTAGGAGGCTGTCCAAAGTTAAAAGAACTGACCCAGGACAAGTAGTATTTTGTTTTCAGAATAAAGAGCTTGTTGACCTCCTGGTGCTTACCACAGGCTGTGTTTTTATGCTGAGTATATACAAAAGGGAGGCAGAGTAAACCTATCCTATAGACACGCCAGCCCAGGCCTCCTGTCTGGACTGTATTGTGAATGGGGGCTATGGAGTTGAGGGAAATGAACTTCTTGAGTACAGTGACCAGACCAGTACACCCAAGGTTAGTTCTTGAGGACTACTAGAATCAAACCAAGATATTCGCAGCTGTCTTAATCCACTTTGTACTGCTGTAACAAAATACCACAGACTGGGTAATGAATGAAAATAGTATATATCTTACAGTTCCGGAGGTTGAGAAGATTACCATTGAGGGGCCACATCTGGTGAGGTCCTTGCCTGCAACATTGTAACATGGTAGAAAGTATAAGGTGGGCAAGAGGTTATGCACAGGAAAGGGAGGTTAAGAAGGGGCTAAACCCAACTTTATAACAAATCCTCTCTCACAATATGACAATCCATTTATGAAGGCAGAGCCTTTGGGATGGAAACAACTCCCATAAGGACCCGTCTCCAAACACTGATGCATTGGGGATTGAATTTCCTACATAAACTTTGGAGGACATATTTAGACTATAGCAGTAGATAAAAGGTGAACATTAAAAAATAACTTCCTTTCAACTTTTTTTTTCTCCCTTTCAATTTTGAGTTTCATCCCAAAGTTCTAATTTATACTTAGAATGAAGGATGTCTTTTCAATCTGATATTTCTCTTCATACCTAAAACTACTAACATTTTTAAATAACAGGAAGCTAATTAATCAACCAAATTATTATCAGCTTAAACATTGTGGCATATTAGATATTAGATTATTATTACAGTAAAGAATTACCTTTGGTGAAATTGCTGGAGACCTACACATTATATATGCAAGTTTTTCTATCAATTGGTTTTAAGCAGCAAAACTAAATGAAGGAACTAATAAGGTGTATACTGAGAGCCCCAATTAGATCTGGATTGGCACTTCATAGAATCTTTCAAAAATTCGGTATTTTGAAGTGTCAACATGCTTCATAAAGAATGGCTTTGTTGAGCCAGGTGCCGTGACACACACCTGTAATCCCAGCAGCTTGGGAGGCTGAGACAAGGGGATCCCAAGTTTAAAGCCAGCCTTAGCAACAGCAAGGTACTAAGCAACCCAGTGAGACCCTATCTCTAAATAAAATAGGGCTGGGGATGTGGCTCAGTGGTTGAGTGCCCCTAAGTTCAGTTCCTGGTACCAAAAAAAAAAAGAATGACTTTGTTGAGCAAGTGACAGTAACCTATAACATTGTATTTGGGGGGAATTCTCATAGGGAAAATAGTTTTATTAAGATGAGAAATTAATCATTATTTTTAGCTATTTGAACTTGGTGAAACGTTCTCCTCATTGAAAGATTTGTAAAGTTAATATCAGCTCATTCATAATTTTTTTCTCTTATAGAAACAAACTTCAGAGGCATTTCTTATCAGTTTGTTTATAATCCTTATTTAATTCAGAAATGGTTGGTCTAAATAATATGGTTTAAGAGCTACAGTTCCATAATAATTTTTTGTTGTTTTTTCTTTAACAGATGATTTGCTATTATTATTGTTCATTCACTTAGTAAGCACCACTGTGTACAGACTTGTATTTGAGAACTTGATGTTTACTATTGCATGCATTTGAGTCAACCTAAATGTGAATCATACGAATTTATTACTTTGGCCATATGTCTCCAATGTGTGTGCCTGCAGTTAAACAAACAAAATTGGCTAGCATAAAATATACAGCTTAAAATAACCCTGGTGCGTGTCCAGTTTATTGTGGAAAAAGCTTGGCATTTTTTTTTTTTAAATTTTTTTTAAAATTCTTTAAAAAGCTTGGATTTGATTAATATCTAGAGCTGGTAACACAATTAGATTTTTCTAGTTTATTTAACTTTACAGCATTCTTTATATTCTCTGGTTGGATTACTACAATGTATAATCCTCCGGATTTGGCAGTTTTAGTTTGCTGAAAAATAGTTTATAGGTAAATAAAATGATTTTGTGAAACATTAAATAAGTTTTTATATGACACTTTTTTAAAAAAAAATATGAAAAACAAATGGTCATCATCAGTGAGTTTTAAGGGGAAATGTCCTCTTGGGGGAAAGGCAAGAAAGATGAGTGGTTTGTGCACCAGAGTATAGCTTCCGTATGTATTTATCTGTGGGACTTGTTGTCCTCAACCATAATATGATCAATGTGTGGTCAGAAGTAGTGGAAAGCCCTACCTTGTAATTCTCTGAGCTTCAGTTTTCCCTTGTAGGTTAAAATGCTGACTCAGGATTGTTAGCAAGGCTTAAATGAGAAATTATACAAGGAGATCCATCTATTCTGTGTATTCTCTCTTGTTTGCTCTGCTGTATGAAGACTGAGGAAGGTGTGGGTGTAAGGGATAAAGAGAGTTTCTTCTAACCTTATGGAGTGAGGGAATGGAGATAGATATGAGAATTTGGATTATAGATAATGGCATTTGTTAGTGAAGTGCTTGTGGAAGGCAACAAGGAGGGAAGAGGTCCGGCTCGCTAGTAACAGACAAGAGAGACTCCACTGTCTTTAAGGAACATGCATGTGCAGAAGGTAGGGAGAGAAGGAGTATTCAGAATGAAGTAGCTACAGTGGAGCTAATCTCCAAAGAAAAACTACTCTATTTTTAATTTCATTTAAAGCAGTTGACTAAGACAGTAAAATAGTAAATTAATTCTGTAACATAACAGCTTTGCAGTTTACATAGTTTAAATTTATAACACAACAAAGTACCAACTAAGTACATAACATGAATGAACCAAACTCTGAAAGTTAAATCTCTTCCTTCCTATAGGCCTTATTCTTTTCTTGCTCAGTGCCACCTCCAGTTATGCTATTGAACCAGATTCATTTTGCCTGCTACACAGTATGCCAGTCACTGAAGCAAGCCTTGAGAAAGTTTATTTTCAAGGCAGCCAAGCATGGAGACAAGACAATAAGTCTCAAATCTCTCTCCCCTAGGATAAGGTTTGGGAATATTTATGGGATAAAGAAGCAGAGTGTACCGGATGCGGTGACTCACACCGATAATCCAGTCACTTGGGAGGCTGAGACAGGAGAATTCTGAGTTCAGAGCCAGCCTCAGCAATGGCGAGGTCCTAAGCAACTCAGTGAGACCCAATCTCTAAATAAAGTACAAAATAGGGCTGAGGATGTGGCTCAGTGGTTGAGTGCCCTTGAGTTAATCCCTGGTACCAAAAAAAAAAAAAAAAAGGCAGCAGCAGCAACAACAGAGTATGAAACAGGGCTGGGGAAAGGTGATGGGAGATGAAGTAGTCAGTGGCTCACCCACACATAATCCATCTTCATAGCTCTTCATAGGACACAAGTTGAGAAAACGGCCCCATTAGTGTGGTCTCAGAGTGGCGACTTTGGCATTCTGAGGTCAAATATTTCACCCTTCAGACAGACACCTGTGTAGGCCCAGATGAAGAGTGAGCCAGATGTTATCTAGTAGAATGAGCTAGTGCTCAGCTGAGTGGTCTCTGTAATTTTTAAAGTCAACTATAAGCAAGTAAGTAAAAGGAAGCAAATCTGGGAGGGTGGTTATTGAAGTGCCCTCTTGGTTTCACTTAGATCCTCAAAACCTTCACTCTTGTAATAGTGCAGTGCCACCATAAGTTACTGATGATCTGTGCTTTTAATCACTACTTAATGATCTCACCACTCTCATTTTAAACCTTTTCTTTGCTCGTGCCAGGCAGAGACTCCTTTGATGGTTATAAAAGAATTAGACTGCATGCAGGACCACCCAAAGGTAAAGCAGCGCACATATATTCATACATTTGTGTATGTATGCATTAGTCAAGGTTTGGCTCTCAGAGGAGATGTCTTTAGATTTCCTGAATTCTGTGTATTTAGGAAACATTTCTTCACTTTCCAGTAATCAAAGAAATATTTGTTCTTTACTCATATAACTTTAATCAATAGGTGAAAATTGGGAAGGTAATGAAAGTTTTCTTTAAAATTTTTTTTTGGTTGACCTCCCTCCATCCCTCCTCATTTCAAGCAAACCAATTTAAGCTATATCATAGAAAGTTTTAGTATACTTTGTAATCCTAGCATTAATATTAATGTCCTAGCTGAGCACAGTTACACACACCTATAATTCCAGCAACTTTGGAGCCCAAGACAGGAGGATCGCAAGTTCAAGGCCAGCCCAGCGTCAACAACTTAAGGAGACCCTCAGCAATTTAGCAAGACCCTGTCTCAAATAAAAATAATAGTAAGAAGAAAAGGACTGGGGATGTATGTATCTCAGTGGTAAAGTGCCCCTGAGATCAGTGCCCAATACTCCTCTCAAAAAAAACCAACCCCCCCCCCAAAAAAAAAAACAAAAACACAACTTGTCACTCCTTTCACATTTTCATATCCAGAACTGAACTACAGTTAAAATTCTATCTTAATGCAGATTATGTGGAAAATCATGAATATTAAACTATTTACATTTTGAACAAAATTTGCCAGTATGTGAATTTGGGTAAGGCAGGTGCTAAACCAAGTTTCTTCTATGTCTAATGAGGGATAATCACACCTGCCTTATAAGATGCATGTGGGTAGAAAGTATGATGTTCATATAAAGTATGTACCATAATGCCTGTTTTCCTTAGCTGCTGTTGTGTTGTACCTCCACCTGGAGAGGGACCATTTTCCTTCTTAATTGCTGTGTGCTCCAAGTATATAGTATAGTAATTACTACATAATAGCCATGACATAAGGAAGGAGTATTGCTGGCTAGCTCCCCAGAGGCCCTTCTCATAGCCCCTCTGGTGTCTGTATCCCTTCTTCTCCATGGTAACTGAATCTGATGGATACTGGAGACTATTTTTGCCTGCTTTTGATTTTCATATAAATAGAATTTTGCAATATTATACCTTTTAAGTCTGCATTCTTTTGGTACTACAACATTGCAAATGGAGTAGTAAGTTGTTTGATTTTGTTACATTAATAGTACCGTGTTGTGCGATTGTATAATTTTTCCAAACATTTGGTTTGTTTCTAATTTGGGTTTATTATATCTAATGATGTTGTGAGCATTCTATTACATATTTTTTTGATATCCATTTGTTCACATTTAC